TATAGAAGTACCTACCTAAGTATATGGTATCTCTTGTAGTACATGAGTAGGAATACTATAAGTATAGCAGTACCTACCTAAGTATATGGTATCTCTTGTAGTACATGAGTAGGAATACTAGAAGTATAAAAGTGCCTACCTAAGTATATGGTATCTCTTGTAATACATGAGTAAGAATAGAAAAGCTAAGCCTAAAGATGTAAGCCTAATATCCCAACTGTAGTAGTGACCCTGGGATGTCCAAACACCACCATTCACCACCTAAAAAGATAAAATTTGATTTTAGATTCTGATATTCTTATTATTTTTGTTGAATTTCAGTTCTTTCAGCGCCTATAATTGCCGAAAATTTAACATCAAATATAGTGACGACAATGACTCTAAATATAAAGTTAAAATATGACAAAGATTATTCAATACACTAAACGTTTAAAAAATGTCTTCATAATAAAATTAGCTGAGGTATTGAAAATTTAAAGAATTTTGCTTATTTTTGTAATTATATGTATTGGGGGATTAATTTCAATACCCCCTGGTTAGGAAGGCCATGGGCACGGGGAATTCTACAAAAACATTGCACACCTCTAGACCTTCTCTCGAGATCGACTTATGAAAAAAAGTTTACCATCATTCAATCATGCTGAAATTTCTAGGCTATACTTGAAGGTGTGAACTGTTAAAAATCTTAACGTTTCTAGAAATTATCCTGAATTTAAATTAAAGAGCAAAATCTTCCAGCTTCCTATGACTTCCAAAGAAACCCATCCACTTTTATAACAATTCCAAATTCGGAGTAAAAAAAGATGTAATGTCTGTCATCAATAAACTTATTTTTCTTTAAGTCTAAAGGAACATCTCCGAAATTGTATTGAAAAAGCCTGTTAAACTGAACCATCAAACTCAAAACTGTAAATTATTGTTCAAACATGCGAAATGGATTTTAAAAGAAACGTCTTGTAAAGCTGATTCCAGTTATATGGCTAAAAACAAATTATGAACAATTTGACAGCTGTCACTTTTGGCCATTCTTAAAAAGATAAAGAAAATAGGACAAAGTTACAAGTCTTTGTCACAAACTCTAATTTTGTAATCAAAATTTGGAAATCCCAAAACTCCACACATTAAGAGGTTTTATTATTTTAAAGCCCTTCTTTACATCATAACTAGTCCATCAGGACGCTTTGCGCCCATCTTCTATTTCAACTTTGTATTGTTGCTTAATCTTTCAGCATTTTCTCTTCGATAAAACAATAATAATTTTTTTCTTCGGATTTACAATTTTTTCCCCGAAGATTGTTTAAATTTTATTGAATAAATTTTTTTGGTTTTTGTATTTCCGACCATCCATAGACCTTCCCTCGGGTTATGTGAGGTCCCACAAAAAGTGGGCCTGAATAGTTCAGCTCGTTAAACATTTATCGGTTACAAACAAACAAGAAAAATATATGTTTTGAAGTTCATAAATTTTTAATTTTTTTCATTAAGATATTATGTGCAAAAATAAACCACAAAATTCTGACCTCAATAGTTAGCGCTACAATATTCTCTAGAATTATGAGAGTCCACAACCAGAAATATTCCTTCTTAGTAGGGGCAGGGTTCAGCAGAGGTACGTTGATAAACCCTAAAATAAGCCAAATATATAAAATGGATGTTAAACTTCTAAAGGTTTTGTAGACCCTTCTAAAAACAAGAGCCCTAATCATTAAAAATAAAAATAAAGAGGCTTCGCTGAATAGAAATGAGGAAAAACATTTTTAGATAAACTTCTATTTTGATTTGGATTCTCTGTAGATAGAAGGATATATTCTAGAACTAAGTTAGTGATTGATATAAACTAATTAAGTGTCTTTCCTGATTAGAGAACTCAACTAATATTTTTATAAAGAGATTATAATTAGGAAATTGGATCAATTAAGCAAACCGTTCGAATTCTCATCAGAAATAAAGACGTGGATCCCACCCTAAAAGTTACATGATCCAAGCTGGTGCAACAGGTTCTGTAAATGCATCCAGAGCTGGACTATCTAGTGTAATGTCGACCCAGCACATTTTATACTACAAATGTAGTCTGGCAAAATCACAGTGCGTGACATTGTAAAACACAATGATCCAGGCCGCTATGAAGTTTGTTACACCAATTTTCAAGAATGAGTCTACTTTGAATTGTCCACCATTAATAAATATGTTAGGAAGGCTTGAACGGAACGAAAACATTTTTTTCCGAAATGAGATCTGTAAAATAGTAAGTCTTATTTTCTGCTTTTATTAATCCAAATAACAGAAATTTAAAAAGAAATAGTTTACCTCCTACTTCTAATTGGTTGAGAGTAACTTTGATGTTTTCTTCAACAAAACTTGGTTGAAGTGTATCCAACCTTCGTTTCAGTCCTTGGTCCCTAAACAGACCTTCATTTAGGATACAAGAATACAAGGATACAAGGATACAAGGATACAAGGATACAAGGATACAAGTATACAAGGATACAAGAATACAAGAATACAAGAATACAAGGATACAAGGATACAAGGATACAAGAATACAAGGATACAAGGATACAAGGATACAAGGATACAAGGATACAAGGATACAAGAATACAAGGATACAAGAATACAAGGATACAAGGATACAAGAATACAAGATTACAAGGATACAATGTTACAGGTTTAAGGATACTCGGCTACAGGCTTAAGGATACAAAGATACACAGGTTTGAGGATACAAGGAAAGAGGTTTGAGGATACAAGGAAACGTGTTTGAAGATACAGTAATACAGGTTTGAGGATACAGTGATACAGGTTTTGAGGATACAAGTATACAGGCTTGAGGATACAAAGATACAGGTTTGTGAATAAAAGGATAAAGGTTTGAGGATACAAGGATACAAATCTGATGATACAAGGATACAGGTTTGAGGAAACAAGGATACAGGTTTGAGGATACAAGAATACAGGTTTGAGGATACAAGGATACAGGTTTGAGGATACAAGGATAAAGGTTTGAGGATACAAGGATACAGTTTTGAGGATACAAGGATACAGAATTAAGGATACAAGGATACAAGTTTGAGGATTCAAGGATACATATTTGAGGATACAAGGATACAGGTTTGAGGATACAAGGATACAGTGTTGAGGATACAAGGATACAGATTTAAGGATACACGGATACAGGTTTGAGGATACAAGGATACATATTTGAGGATACAAGGATACAGGATACAGGTTTGAGGATACAAGGATACAGGTTTGAGGATACAAGGAAACAGGTTTGAGGATACCAAGGATACAGGTTTAATGATACAAAGATACAGGTTTAAGGATACAAGAATACAGGTTTGAGGATACAAGGAAACAGGTCTGAGGATACCAAGAATACATATTTGAGGATACAAGAATACAGAATTAAGGATACAAGGATACAGGTTTGAGAATACAAGGATACATATTTGAGGATACAAGGATACAGGTTTGAGGATACAAGGATACATATTCGAGGTTACAAGAATACCTGGGTTGAGGATACAAGGATACAGAATTAAGTATACAAGGATACAGGTCTTAGGATATAAGAATACAGGTCAAAGGATACAAGGATACAAATTTTAGAAAACAATATTAAAGAATACAAGGATACAGATTTCAGAATACAAGGATTTAAGGATACTAGGATACAGATTTGATGAAAGGTTTGTATACCTTATGTTTTCTTGAATACTCTTTGTATCAAGATTCTGCCGAGGATTTGCCCACCATTGATCCTAACAATTAGAAAATATCAAAAATCGATCAATAAATCAATTCCGCAGATAAAACAATCAAATAAATAACAAACATATAATAAAGGGAGGCAGTGGCGGATTATTGGGGGAAAGGGGGANGACGTCCAGAAACTAGATTTCAATTAACCAGCTAAAATGTTACGAATACAATAAAATCTTCGAATTTGAAGTGGCTCAACGCTTTTTTTTACCTTACTAACTAACTAGAACTACAACAAGCTTAATTGGAGATTAAGTTTAAAATCAGTGATTGGGAAAATACTGAAAGAATATTTGTGTGAGAAAATACATAGTTTGGATCCCTGTAATACAAACCTTTATTTCTTGTCTAATATCATCGTAGAGAAATGGAGCTGCAAACATGTTCATATCAGGCAGAAGCATGTCAATAAAGGGTCTAAAAAATCATTTTGACTGAATTATTACATTTTTGGAGGATATAAAGTACTGGGGAAATTAATGGTTAGACAATTCCAATACTTATCACTTTTATCTGATTTTTTTAAGTGTACAGAATTAGTAAATTTTTCCTTAAAAGTTATTTAGTTGTTTACAATTATTCATTATATAATAAACTGTGCCCGGCGTTGCCCGTGGAATTGTTTTACTTTTTTTATAAAAAATTTGTTTGTTTTTTTTGCATTTTTTTATCCTTTTTTTTAGCCCCGGGGTACTCAAGGGTTCCCTCAAAAATGTCAGCCCATACGGTCCAGCCGTTTGGCCAGCTATAGCTAACATACATATGAGCGAAGAGCTTTTTTATACTGGATGACCAAATAGGCAGACTTCTTCCCGTTTCAAAAATGAGCTTGCCAGCCAGATCACTTCACATATGAGGGTGCTAGAGCGTCGGGAAACCTCCCGGTCGCGGGGTGCAATTATAACTATACTGCAATTACTGAGAGAAAATGAGAAATTGAAAAAAAAACTTTATGAAAAATAAATAATTTTGAACTAAAAAGTAAGATTCCAGGGTAGAGAAATCAAATTCTCATGACAGGCACTACACAAAATTACAAATTACAACAAATTGATTAATTTTTCCAAATTTGTCGAATAGATCACTAAAAAATTGCGGTTTCGTAACACAACGGGGGGAAACCCCTGGAATGATTTTTGAAAAAACTATATACCCCTGTAGTTTGGTATTAAGAAAAACCTGTTCTGTGGCTGTTCTCTCATATTCTCGACAAGGGAGGAGAGCTTGAGTAAACTCTGTCTTCTCTTCATGGACGCTTTCTTCTCTAGTTTAGTATCAGGGGAGAAGTTAAACTTCTTCTCAGCTTCCTTCAATACTTTGAGCTGGTCAACCTGAACCTGAATACAACATGTCCACATATACAATATGCCAACTTAAACCTGAATACAACATGTCCACATATACAATATGTCAACTTAAACCTGAATACAACATTCAATTCTATTTGTTTTTTAATATCTGTCTTAGTCATTTAAATCTGTATCAATCTTTGATCCATGTCTTTCTATCTCTTGATCTCTTAATATCCTAATCTCTTAATCTCTTAATCTCTTAATCTCTTAATATCCTAATCTCTTAATCTCTTAATATCCTAATCTCTTAATATCCTAATTTCTTAATATCCTAATCTCTTAATCTCTTAATCTTTCTTTTTATCTCTATCTCTATCTCTCTCTATGTTTATCTGATGTACTGCACTCACCATAAATGGAAGAACAACAATAGAGTTGACAAGAATGTTTATCCAATGATCCAAATAGTTTCCATCCTGAACCAGACAAATACATCTATAAACCTTCATGTAATAGTTAACTGTGAGATGCTGTAGAATGAAACTCAATAAAGGGATTGCTCTTGAAGTTAAGAATGTATTAAATACAGAATGAAGTTTTAAATACAGTAGGACCCATAAAATTGTGGAACAGGAAACTTCAAAAATATCATGTGTATTTCATGTTGATAACAAGCATTTTAAGCAGCTTGAAAATCCGCTTATTCTTAAGTAAACTTGAATGAAATGGGTCTCTATACAAACTGAATATCCGGTTTATATGAAGTGCAGGACCGACTTATGGGCAACAAGAGCACGTTGAACAGTATATATCCAGGCTTTAGACGGCAAAACAGGACAGTACACCAAATGAACCATCTGCATAAAAGGAGATTAATGTGAACAGAGCTAAACACTTTTGAATGGGATATCCTTAATGGTTAATCTGGAGGTAAATAACAAAAGGAGAACAAGCATTATTTAATCTAGAGATTTAAAAAAAGAGTGGATCAAGCATTAATCCCGATATCCAACCATTCAAAAGTTCCGAGAGCAGAGCTGAAAACTTTAGAATGGTGGATATCGGGATTAAGGCTTAATCCACTCTTTTTCTTAATCTGCAGATTAAATATTGCTTGTTCTCCACTCATTTTTAATCTCCAGATTAATTATCCGATCAGGATTAAGGATATCCCATTCAAAAGTTCCCATCTCTGGAAACTTTAGAATGGGATACATTTAATCCCGACCGCTTTATCCGAATATCCAATATGAACACTTTTAATTTCTTGCTTAATCCACTCTTTTTGGATGAAGTACAGAAAAACCAAAAACCGGTTTTTAAAAATTAGAGAGTCCCTCCCGTTTCTGTATATTAATCGGCGCGCAACATTTCAAATTTACCGGGTTCTAATAAGTACAAGATTAGGTTAGTCTCGAGATTAAGAAAAAGAGAGGATCAAGCATTAATCTTAATATTCACTATTCTAAAGTTTTCAGCTCAACTCAGTTTACACTGTACACTGCACTGCACAATTTCTGTTTCATAAGTTTATTCAAAACTTGAGTCTAACAAAAGTCCTTTTTTTCCACAGTTTTAGGGGGTTTACTAACCAATCATTATTATGGTTCAGTGTGAAGTTATTCACTAGAAGTAACCGTATTTATTTTCTCAAATTCAAATAGGTTGTCAAGTACAATAGATGGCAACACAGAATGCATACACTTTCATTACAGCTGATTAAACGTCATAAGTGTCAACACGAATTTTCTGTCTGACAAAACTATAAATAAAAGTGATATTGTTAGACTAAAGTGCTTATCTTTTAGTGAAATTAGTGCAATTTTATGTGTTCTTTATTTCTGTTTTTACACTTTTTCATTTAA